TTAACTATATTTCTTAGGGATACCTATGTATTAATATAAGCGCAATATCAAATATCTATTTGAAATATTGTGTATTTTTATTACGAAACGATCAATATAAAAATAAATGTAGTTTATTTTGAAGAAGTATATAACCTATCGGTCCCTTATAGGTTTATCATTTAAAGGATGGATAAAAGGGGTGAGACGTGCGAAGTTGCAACTAATGGCATTTATTAATTTGGTCGCCGTCCATCTAACTTTGTAGGCCTTCGTCTATTACTAAGGTGTTAATACCGTTAATAAAGATAGAGAATACGGTCATTTTAAAATGCCATTAAAAAGGTTTATTTCTTTGGGTGGCCGCAACACCCATTTTTGACCCCAGGAGGGCACAGTTTTCTGTCCCATAGCTTTGGCTTGGAGTCCATCCTAGGCCTTTTTAATGGCCTCCATCCTATAGCTAAGGCAGGGGTAAGGCAACCTTGGATCTTTGATGACTGGTGGACTTCAACTCCCAGAATTCCTGAGCCAGCCCTGCTAAGGGACGGAAAACTGGGGGGAAAACTGGGCCGCTTCCCTCGGCCTTCTGCGCGTGTCCGCCGGCTGGTTCTTGACGAGTAATCTGCGAGAGGCCCTCTCTGGACGGCGGGCTCCCTGTCCGTCGGTATCGGCCGTCCCCCAGGTGCTGCGGTAAAAGGACCTTTCCATCATGTCCGACTTCCGGTCCTTCGTTCTTAATCTTTCCCCCTACTTCCTTTCGGGTAGACCTCCTCAGCATGTCCGACTTCCTGTCCGCGCAAATTCGCCGTCCTCCAGGGTCTTTGAATTGCGACCTTCCCAACATGGCCGACTTCCGGTCCGTTCTTCTTAATCGTCCTTCCACTTCCATTTTTTCGGGGACCTTCTGGGCAGGGCGGACTCCACGTCCGATCAACGAGGTAAGCCTTGAAAACCCCATTCAAAAGGCTTATTTCCCTTGGCGGCCGCAATACCCGTCCCAGAGCATTTACCAGCGTAGGCCTTTTCCACGGCCTCAATGCCGCTATCGCTAAGGGAGGGAAAACAGTGCCCTCCCGTGGCCAAGCCGGGTATAGCAGCCACCAAAAGAAATAAACCTTTGAAAATGGCAAAAGGGCCTCCCGTCGCCCTAGTAATATTAATAAGAGGCTACTAATAAAGACGGGGGGAAAATAAATAGCCTTAAAATCCCATTTAAAAGCTTTATTTTTTTCGGCGACCGCAGTACCCGTTTTTGACCACAGGAGGGCACACTTTTCCGTCCCGTAGCATGACCATCGACGACGACCACGACGTTCCCAGTACGGCCGAGTTCCTGTCCATCCGCCGAGGCCGTCCCCAACTTCCTGTCCGTTCCCTGCTTTTTCCCGTGCTCTTTTCTGCACTACGTTGACGGAGCGCACGTCTACCGGCGAGGCCTCAGGAAGGAAAAAAGGAAGCCTGCTCCTGCCTCAGGTGAGCCGAGCCATCCCCGCATTTCCTGATTCCAGAAAGATACCGGCTTTCTCTGTTACCTAGTTAGCGGGGGATCCCCACCTTCCCCCTCCCCCGCCTCCTCCCCGGCCACTCGTTTGGTCCTCTCCCCTAAGATGTCCGCCTGGCCGTTCCTGGCCTTTCGCCGCCGGTGTCTGTAAAAATGCGACCGAGAACCGGTGGCGGCGGCGGCGCCGCAGGTTGCGAGACCTGGTTTCTTTGCGCTCTTTCCCTTTCAGCTATAGGGGCTAAATTGGGAACGTAGAGACGAAGTTAGCTTGTTTTAACAACACACTTCGGGGTGGTTTATGCGAGCTCAGCCGCGGCTTCTTTTTAGCTCCTTTTTAGAGGCGGGGCCGGCGGGACACGCTCCAGGCTTTTGGCCTCCAGGTCTGGAAGGGGGTTCCGACCCGTCTCGGGGGTCTCCTCGAAGGCTGCCAAGCAAGGCAGCCGTTGAATGGTGTTGTCCGAGCGCCCGAGTCCCGGATGTAGAAGAACCAGTCGTATCGCGCTTCCCTGTGTTACATCTTAAAGAGGTTGCTCCTCCAAAAAGTGCACCCCGCTCGCCCCCTTCAAGCAAATCCAGGTATTTTTATTCAAGAATAGTTTTGTTTGTCCTGCCCTGCTATTTCTTTAAGGAGATCGTACGTATGTAGGTTTGTATTTAGGTTTGATGTTTCTAAACTATATTTCTTAGAGATCCCTCTGTATTAATATAGGCGCAATATCACATCTCTATTTGAAATTGTGTGCATTTTTATTAAGAAACGATCAATATAAAAATAAATGCAGTTTATTTTGAAAATGTGTATAACCTATCGTTCCCTTCTAGGTTTATCATTTAAAGGATGGATAAAAGGGATGAGAGTGAGAAGTCGCAACTAATGGCTTTTATTATTTTGTTCGCCGTCCATCTAACTTTGTAGACCTTCGTCCAAAACAAGTCAGGGTTAGGAAGGGTAGGAGATTTCTTCCTTTCCTCTCCAGGTTGCCGTAAACAGCCCACCCACCGCCCAGAGGTAAGAGAAAGGTAAAGCAGGTCTCTCTGGGGGACGCAGGAGACCCGGGTCTTTGCAGAGTCCGGCTTGCAATTTTGCTAACTTCCCCCAGTCACAGCTGCATCGACTGATGTAGCGGCCAGGAGGAAGGGTGGGGAGGAAGGGTGGGGACGCCTGCCGGATGAAAGCTTCAGCCTTTTTGGAAAAGGCAGTGGAGAAAGGAGGTCACGCTCCCTCTGCCAAATGGGTGACCCCCCCCCTTTCTGTGGCTGTTAAGAAGGAACTGGGGGAAAACAGATAAGTTGTTCTTGAGGATTTTTCCCCCCCTTTTTTGCCAGCTTCAGTGAGATTAAGGCTTTTCCTTTTAAAAAGACGGGGATGGAACTGGAGGAAGGTTGGGAGCCCAGTAAAAACCGCAAGAGGCAGTGGGAAACACGGTGGGAGGTTGCGATTACCCCCGCTCCTCTAAATATTGCAGTTTTGGTGGGAAATAGCAGGAGGTAGGATTCCTCTCTTAGGAAAGCTCAGGTCTTTCAGATACCTTGCTGGTCCCCACACACCCCATTTAATCCATTTTCTTGCTGCAGAGAGAGATTCTGTTAAGTTCTAGCTGGAACTCCACGTCTCTTATTCTGTTGGTAGCTGCTTTGCTTAGGTTGGGTGTAGCCTAGGGATATTTAAAAACAGTGAGGAAAGTCCACAGGAGGCCCCCTTATGCTCCCATCGCCTGTTTCCTGGGAGAGGGGAAGTTATTTATTGAGACTAAAGCGGTCAAGCCCTCTGGGAAGAATTGAGTCCTACGGTTAAAGAAGGAATAGCAGTCACAAAAGGAAATAAATCCTTTTAATATGATTTTAAGATTATTATTATTGATCTATTGAAGTTATTGAATGGTATTAAGGGTCAAAAAACAGTGCCATCCTGTGATTGAAGCAGGTAGAGGAGCCATTAAAAAACTTTTCAATAGAGGAGAATAAATAAAGGTCAAAAGTGAAAATATGTCTATAATAATGTATAATAATATGAATTATTCTTAGTAAGAAGTAGAACATGTAGGAAGAAAAATGTAAATAAGAAATAATGGGGCTATAAGGACAAATATTCTAAAGAAGAATAAGGGGGAAATGTAAATATTAGATTACCGTTACGTAATTGCTGTAAAAAAAAGGAGTATATATTGTATGTGTATGTGTGTTATGTTTTGCTTTGTTCTGTTTTGTTGGTTAAAAATAAAAATTAAAAAAAAAACTTTTCAATGGCATTTTAAGGTTATTCTTTATTATTAAAACCTTATTAATATTAATAGGGCATCATAGTCCTCCTTAACTAGATTTAAGGCTTTTGAAGCAGATTTCTTCTTCCGCGCCTGCGTTGCAGCAAACGGGCCTCCCCTGGCCCTATTAATAAGGTGTTAATACTGTTAATAAAGATAGAGAATTTAAAATGCCATTAAAAAGGTTTATTTCTTTTGGTGGCCACAATACCCGTTTTTGACCAGAAGAGGGCACACTTTCCCGTCTCATAGCTTTAGCTTGGAGTCCATGGTAGGCTTTTTTTAATGGCCTCCATCCTATAGCCAAGGGACAGAAAACTCTGTCAAATCAGATACTGCAGCCACAAAAATAAATAAACCTCTTTAATGGCGTTTTAAGATGATGATTATTCTTTATTATTAAAACCTTATTAATATTAATAAGCCACGATAGGCTCATTCCCATCCCCTACTACACTTGACTTGCAATCACGGTCTACAGGCCATGTGGCAAAGTACCACAAGTGGTACACATACCACTGGTTGAAAAGCCCTGCTCTATAATTATTAATATCAAGGCTTCTAATAATACAGATGCAAAAGAATAACCTCAAAATCCCGACTGTTCTGTTCCCTGAACCTGTCTTGCCCTCTCCGGCTGTAAAACGGGGCCCAGGGGCCATTTTACAAATGCAGATGGGGCAACTAAGCCTGAGAAAGAATCCCTGAAATTTATGTTTCCAACATATGAACTGTATCTCTATGTTCCCAATTTGGCCTCTTGTTTTTCTCCCTCTGAAGTGGAAAGGGCACAAAGAGACCCAGCCTCCTAGTCTCTCGTACCGGCATCCAGCCGCCTGCTTAGGGACAGGAAGTCGGCCATGCCGAGAAGGTCGTTCTGAATGGAAGTGGAAGGACGGCCACAGAAACGGACAGGAAGTTGGCCATCCCGGGGAGGTCGGTGTGTAAGACAGTGGAGGACTACTGCGCATGTGTGACTGGAAGTTGGCAGGTACGGTTGATTTCCTTGTGTGGCTGCTATTCCTGCCTAAGGCTGCGTTCTGATGACTTTGCCCCTAAAATAACAACATAGTCTTTCATATCTTGGGAAAGCCTGACTTTTTTGCCCTCTTTTGGGCAAGGAAAGAGTAGGGCCTGAGGTTTTTAAGAAGAGACTTGACAACCATTTGTCTGAAATGGTACTATAGGCTTTCCTGCTGGACTACAAGACCTTCCAACTCTATTGTTGTTATTGTTGATCTCCCAAAGCAATTGCTCACTGTATTTTCTTCCACTGTTTAGAAGGAAAAACATAACAGAAAGGAGAAATTATTCTCCTTTTAGCCGTTGTTTTGTGGTTAATTCAGGGTTCGGGGGAAATTTGACCGGCTCCTCTGGTTCAAGCCTGTGCTCCAGCTCAAAATATGGAGTTGTGTTGTTTTGAGGAGGCTGTGCCAATAGCAACTGGGAGGTCTTGTGGCAGGATTTGATTCTCTTCACCCCAAGACCAGCTGGTAAAAGCAGGAAAGTTTGCCTTCTCATGGACACCTTCCATCGTAAACCGATCAAGAATTCTGGTGATTTGTTATGATTCCTACAACTCAGTGCTTTTTTCTTAGGCCCTAGGAGTAGATAACCCAAAACACTCAAAGAGCCACTTGGACCCATTTACAACCGAAAACATCTTTTATGACTCATGGACTTCTACTCCCAGAATTCCTGAGTCAGCATAGCTGGGCTAGCTAGCTCTCTCCTGCCCTTCCTGCTTCCTGCAGAGACGCAGCAAAAGGAGGAGTGCCATCCCGTAAGCTTTTTAGCTCGTCGGAGAACACTGTGAGTCCACTCTCTTTTTTACACACACACACACACACACACAGAGAGAGAGAGAGAGAGAGAGAGAGAGAGAGAGAGAGAGAGAGGAGGGGGGAAGCGCAAGTGCCTCTCTCTCTGTCTGCAAATGGCAGAGGAGGCTGGGAGCCGCAGGGGAAGGCTCAAAGAGCCATATGCGGCTCCAGAGCCGCAGGTTGCTGACTCCTAGGGGCACTCAGAGTACACCTTTGATAAAGGAATATACATAATAAGCAAACAACTATAAAACTGAGTTTAGTCAAAGCAGCAAAGTCTGCCCTCTTGTGGCCAGTGTGCTGTAACGTTTAGCAAAGAAGCCCTGAAGTGGCTTATTTTTATTCTTTCATTTCCTTCCTTGGATGGAAGCTCAAAGCAGCCACAGAAGAGGCTGCTGGGAATACAAAAGATAATTGCAGAAGCTAAAATTTCATTTCTAATAGGGCACTGAGGAGGGCAAAACAGGGAATGCTGCCCTCCTGTAGCCAGGTAAGTCCATGGCATTTTTTCCCCAAGGTACAGCAGAAAAGGGTACTGGATAGATTAAATATAGATTGGGTGTCAAACTCAATTTCACTGAGGGCCGCATCAGCATTGCAGTTGCTTGGGGGGGGGGGGCTGGGGTGTGTGGCCAGAGTGGGTGTGGCCTACTGGGTGGGTGTGCATGGAGTGGGTGTGGCCTACTGTATCTTAATTCTACACCAGTCGCGTCAAGGGTGCCTGTGGGGGTCTAGGCAGGAATGGGACAGATCTGAGGGTCTCTGGCAGAAGGGGGTGGGACGGGGGCAAGTGCCAAGGCATGGTCCACTGGGGCAAGTACCAAGATGGCCACCACAAAATTGTACATTGGCTCCCAGCCGGCTGGGGCCAAGACAGCAGGCTCCCTCACTGTTTCCAGGATGGCTTCGTGGGCCACATGAAACCACTTTGCGGGCCACATCCGGCCCCCGGGCATTGTGCTTGACATGTCTGATATAGATGATTAATAGGTGAGATAGATAATAGATGAGAGAGGGAGAGAGAGAAATCTAAAACATTTGTTATATAAAGCACAAAAAACTTCATTGGAAGTTTATTTTGGTAGAACCCCCAAATCCTTACAAAAGATGATCCTCGGTGATTTCGGCACAGGGCAGGAGCACAAGGTGCCTAACAGGTCCAAGCTCCTGACCGCAGGATCCCAAATCTCTTCATATTCATATTAGTAAAGTTGGAAGGGACCTTGGAGGTCATCTAGTCCAACCCCCTGCTCGGGCAGGAACCCCTACACCATTTTGGACAAGTGGCTGTCCAGTCTCTTCTTAAAAACTTCCAGTGTTGGAGCATTTACTGCTTCTGGAGGCAAGCTGTTCCACTGATTAATTGTTCTCACTGTCAGGAAGTTTCTCCTTAGTTCTAGGTTGCTTCTCTCCTTGATTAGTTTCCACCCGTTGCTTCTTGTCCTGCCTTCAGGTGCTTGGAAAATAGCTTAATTCCCTCTTCTTTATGGCAGCCCCTGAGATATTGGAATACTGCTTCATGTCCCCCCTTGTCCTTCTCTTCGTTAAACTAGACATACTCAATTCTAGCAACCGTTCCTTATATATTTTAGCCTCCAGTCCCCTAATCATCTTTGTTGCTCTTCTCTGTACTCTTTCTAGAGTCTCAACATCTTTTTTACATCGTGGTGACCAAACCTGGATGAAGTATTCCAAGTGTGGCCTTACCAAGGCATTGAAGAATGGTATTAATACTTCACGTGGTCTTGATTCTATCCCTCTGTTAATGCAGCCTAGCACTGTGTTGGACTTTTTGGCAGCTGCAGCACACTGCTGGGCTCATATTTAGATGATTGTCTACTAGGACTGCGAGGTCCCTCTCACAGTTACTACTATTGAGCATGGTGCCACCTATGCTGTACTTGTGCATTTGTTTTTTCTTGCCTAAATGTAGAACCTGCTTTTTTCACCATTGAAATTTATTTTGTTAGTTACGTGACCAGTGTTCACGTCTGTCCGGATCCTTTGTATCTTAAGACGTCTTCTGGAGTTGTTGGCTATTCCTGCCAGCTTAGGTGTGTCTGCAAATTTGATGAGTTCCCCATCTATCCTTCATCCAAACGTGATGAAGAGGTTGAAGCGTCCTGGGCCAGAACAGAGTGGGCCTGGGGCACCCACACTACACAATTCCCTCCATAGAGATGCAGTTCCATTGAGGACCACTCGCTGAGTACGGCCGGTCAGCCAGCTATGGATCCATCTGATGGTGGTTCTGTCTACCCCACATTTTTCTATCTTGTCAAGTAGTAGGTTGTGATCTACTTTATCAAATGCCTTACTGAAGTCCAAGTAAATTATGTCCACAGCATTCCTCCGATCCACTAATTTTGTCACTTGGTCAAAGAATGCAATAAGATTTGTCTGGCATGATCTATTTTTGACAAACCCGTGTTGGCTTTTAGTAATGACTTTGTTTGCCTCTAGGTGTTTGCTGATTCGTTGTTTGATATCTTTTCCAGGATCTTCCAGGTATTGAGGTCAGGCTGATAGGTCTGTAATGTCCTGGGTCCATTTTTTTTCCTTTTTTGAAGATGGGAACTACATCAGCTCTTTTCCAGTCCTCTGGTAGTTCCCCAGTGCTCCAGGATCTTTGAAAAAATATAGTTCAGTGGTTCTGAGATCACATCTGCCAGTTCCTTAAGAACCTTGGGGTGTAATCCATCTGGTCCTAGTGATTTGAACTCGTCTAGGCTAGACAGGTGTTCACTTACCATTTTCTTGCCTATCTTAACTTGTATTTCTATTTTGTTTTTTATGCACTATTTTTTGATAGGTTGGTCTGTTTCCCTTGTGTAAAGACAGATGCAAAAAGAGTTAAATAGTTCTGCTTTCTCCTGTGCTTGTCACCTTCTTGCCACTACACCCACTAATGGACCAATCATTTTCTCACTTTTTCTTGTTTTTTACATGTTGAAAGAAGCTTTTTTTGTTATTTTTGACTTTGGTCGCAAGCCTTAGGTCATTTTGAGCCTTGGCTTTCTTCACTTCATCTTTGCAGGCTCGGGCTATTTGCTGATATTCTGACTTAGTTATGTTCCCCTCCTTCCACTTTCTATACTTGTCCTTTTTATCTTTCAATTTGTCAGAGAGTTCTTTATGCAGCCATGCTGGTTTCTTTTGAGAGCTGTTGTTTTTCCTCTTTGTTGGTCTTGTGCTAGACTGTGCTTTTATTATCTCATTTTTCAAAATTTCCAAGTTCTTGAGCGTTTCTCCTTGAGGTTCTCAATCCATGGAATCCTTCCCAAGCCCTCTCTAAGTTTATTGAAATTAGCTCTCTTGAAGTCCAAGACTCTAGTTTGACTGTGTTCTATTGGTTGTGCTTCTAGAATGTTGAATTCTAATATTGCATGATCACTTCCTCCCAGGGTTCCTATGGCTTCAACACCGTCTATCATTTCATCTCTGTTAGTGAGAATTAGATCAAAAATGGCTAATCCCCTAGTTCCCTTCTCTACTTTTTGGGAGACAAAGTTGTCTGCTAGGTTTGCCAGGAACCTGTTTGATCTTCCACTTGGTGTGGAGTTTGTCTCCCAGTTGATGTCAGGGTAGTTAAAGTCCCCCATTACTATTGTGATGTGCTTCCTACATACCTTAGTTAGCTGACTAACAAAAAGTTCATCTATTTCCTCTGTTTGGTTGGGTGGTCTGTAGTATACACCTATGGCAATGTCATTTTCCCTCCCTTTTATATTGACCCAAATGCATTCAAGACAGTTTTTATCATTGTTGTGCTCTATTTCTGTGGAGATGTAGTTATTTCTTATATAGAGAGCAACTCCACCTCCTCTTTTATTTGGTCTGTTTCTTTTAAATCATTTAAATCCCTCTAGCTGTGTGTTCCATGTGTGGGTTTCATCCCACCATGTTTCCGTAATGGCAACAATATCGTATCTGCCCTCATTAACCTGAATTTCTAGTTCACCGTTTGCTGTTCATACTCTGTGCATTGGTGTATAAACATTTGAGTCCTTTGTGGGTGGCCCTGTGTTTCCTTTCTACATAACCTGTGTGTTGCCTGAGTTCCCCTATTGTCTTACCACCTATTTGGTTAGTGCACTTTATGTGGCACTCGCTATTAGAGGCTTCATTTTGCTTGATAGCAAGGTTAGTATTCTTGTCCACACACACATCTATGCTACATGCACTGATAGCCCTATAGTTTTTAAATTGCCGGGGACAGGGTTGTTCCGTATCAATTAACTCCCTGTCCCCGCTGTTTAGTTTAAATTTCCCTCCAGAAAATCTGGGAATTTATAGCCGAGTAACTCAGTCCCTTTTTTTGATGGATGCAAACCATCTCTTTTGTACATCTTTTGATTGGACCAGCTACTGACATCGTGACTAATATATCCAAAGCCTTCCCCTTTACACCACTCCTTTAGCCACATATTGAATTGTGCTGTGCGCTGGCCTTTTCCGTTTTGCTCCTTATACACTAGTAAGACCTCTGAGAAAGTAAGCCTACAGCCTATTCTGCTAAGTTCCTTCCCCAAGCTCTGGAAATCATTCTGCACAGAGAGTACATCTTTTTGGGATAGATCATTAGTGCCAAGATGTACAATAGCCTCCACATCCAAGTCCTTGCTGCCATTCTTGATTATTTGAGAAATACGCTTCTTGTCCCTACTGGCAGTAGCACCTGGAAGACACCTGACCTCTTTCAAAGCCTCTGTGTCCTTTCCTAAATTTACCTCCCTTATAATTGAATCACCTACCAGAAGGTAGCTTCTCTTTTTGGGAGCCTTTCTATTCTTGCATGACTGATGTGCAATAC